TAGTAATTATTTTTAATAAACATTATTTTGTGTTCTAGGGTGGCATCCTTGTGAATGTTACCAGAGGATGTAACTGTCCATTGTTAATCAAGTTGATACGGGGTGAACTGGAAAAAGAACACAAGGTTCTAGAAGGACGTTCTGAGAGAGTGCCAGTGAGTAAAATTTCCTAATGCTAATTATAATGAAACAATAATAACATGGATTCTTTCTAGTTTCTGCAAGCTGTAAGTAATAGCATTCCCTGGTACACCACTAGCAGTTGCTCATGATGACAAATGCATGTACAACTTGCATTGGGGTGACTTGGAAAGCTTTTTCCCTAAGTTCACAAGTGTTTACGAGCTTTTGGGCTCTTTAAAATTTTTCTTAGAACACTGAGCCCTCTACTACATGTAAAAACAAGATGAAAATGTTCACTTGGTCAGAGGTTGCAAGACAGATGTTGGGATGTCCCTCACAAAGGTCCACCATCCTCATCTTACAGTAAAAAATAATGAGAAAAAAAATTCCCATTAGCCTAACCCATAGTGTAAAGATTACTTTGAAAATGCAAATATAATTTTGATTTTTCCTCTAAAAATAATGCTAAGTTACGATCCTAGTTATAAGTCAACTTAATTGAAGGAAGTTAGATTATTGTATGGCTGGTATTGTTTATTACAACTGTAGTTTGTTGATCAAGAGGCTCTAAAAGAGACTGTAATAGCTGATGAAAAGAAAGATGAAGAAAAGGAGACTGAAGAAGAGGAAGAAGAATTGGGTGAGTCATTTATTTAATATTATTAACTTTAATAATAGTGGGACCACGTTTTTTTTTTCTGTACCACAGAGTACATGAAAATGACATGCTTAACAACTCTTAAGTTGACTTTATAAATTAAAATGGTTTGAGTCTTCTTTGGAGACCAGGATGTTAATGACTTAATCAGTAAAAGCCATATATAATGACTGAATAACTGCTGACCATTCCCTGTGCACATAATATAATATATCCCACAGTGGGAGCTTTTGCACAGTATAAGAAGATGGTGACTGGTTTGTGTTTTGAACAAAAGCTTCTAGAAAATTATGCAACCAAAGCTGAATTCAATTTATAAAATCTCACACAGCCCTCAGACAATTGATGTCAGCATAAGTACAGTTATTGTAAGAGTTTAATAAATTGCACCAAAGCCTTCAGGTCATAAGAATATAGCTGTATCCAAAATGTTCATCAAACTATTAATAAGATATAAACAATATTACTCTGAGCTTAAAAGAATTATTGGTACCTCTATACATAACAAAAGAAATTTATACATGATCTACTTGCGTTTTATTTAGGATAGATTAGTTAGAATTCACTGATAATGCACATGTTCCCTAAGATACAAATTATTATTAGTAAAAAAATGGCTTTTATTGAGTCTTCATTGTCTTAATTCGGAATGTCTTTCTTAAGCTGAGAGGATGACACATAGAACTAGAAGCATAAAGGTAGAGAGGAAGTCAGATCTAAAAGGTAGTCAGTTTGTAGATTAGTCTGCATTGATCTCCATTGCTTTGAATATTAGAGCCTAATGTAGTAAAGTACAAAAAAGATCTTTTTAACCAGGGCTGGGTTGTTCAAAGCAGGGTTAAGATAACCCAGGGTTAGTATGAAATTTTAATTCAGAATTGTAAAAGCTTAAAAAGCAAATTCAGTTTAATTATTTTGGTCTGCAATTTGGTGATTGGATGCTCTAAAAAGAATAGCGAAAATTATCCGAGAAAATGCTTTTAAACAAAAGAAAAGGAAACCCAGATTAAAATTTAACTGTGGGATAGCGCAAATCGGCTTTCGAACAACTGGGCCCAGATGATTATTATTCAGCATACAATATGCAAGGTGTATTGATCATTTGATGCTGAGTATGAGTAATATAAATGGAAGTTCAGAGCATTTCAAAAGTGAACATGGAACAATTAAATTTAAAAGTATATAATTTGGCTCCACTACGCAGTACAACATGAATCAAAAAACCATTATGTTTACTTTGGCTGTTTCAGCTGAGCATTAAGAGATATAGAAATACATTATACTACAACCTAAACACAACTGGGACAGAGCTGAGAGACAGTTTACAAAAAATACTGTCAGAATAAGGGCCAGAAAAAACATGCAGGCAAAAAAACAGTATACTGGGCAGGCAATCTGGGTAGGATCCATGGCTCATGTTCTGAAAAGCCCATCCTACAAAGGCTTACACAGCTAGAAGGTCTCTGCCCACATTTAACTAAGCATGTATACCAACAAAATGCAGTAAACTCAAAATAATTATTGTCACAATAATTGTCACTTAATAAATTGAAATAAAAAGTAGTTATATATTTAAATAAAAAATAATGTGGACTAAACGAGGTGTTGGCCTAGAATGCTTTCCCATGTAATATCCCGCGCCACAGAAATATTTTATTTTCAGCTATTTTTGGCTGGGTATAATTGTGACAGATTTTATAATCCTGTAAGTAGTAACTCTTATTATCTCTGGGAAACAGTTCTATTATACAAAATGTAAGTGTAGGAGAAGTTTTTACATGTATTTCACTCAATCATGATTGTTAAGTAACATTATCTTATATTATTATTTGTGTGCACAGTTGAACTTCCTAAGCAAGTCACTGTAGCCATCATAAAACCTGATGCTGTGGAAGCTGGTCTTGTTGATGAAATAATCCAGAAGGTATTTACTGTTTTGTGCCAAATTTTGGTTTCTGGTGTTCTTACTGATGCTTTTTTTCTAATTATTGAACTAAGTCACTGGGTGAAAGTAGAGTCACAGGTATGTGTGGAGCTTGAGATGGTGAAGGGGGGGGGGGGG